AAAGACAAAAAGTATTCCTTACATCCTGTGGTGGTTAATCATGATTTTAACTTGACTAGATTAAGAAGACCTAGCAGATTAGTAAAACTTACTTCTGGGTGTGTCTGTCTAGGTGATGGAGGCGTGACCTTAAGGTCTATATCTGGTCCTTAGTCCCTTCTTGGGGCTCCTCCCCTGCTGTTTCCCAGCTGCCCTGAAGGGAACATCTTTGTTCATTCTGGCTTCTGCCATGGTGTTCTCCTTTGGAGCCAGTCATCCATGGATTCAATGGTCTGACACTAGCTGCCTGTTGCAGTCAGTGTTTGCAAGGAGAATAATTCAATACAGGACATACAATTTACAGGATTGTTTTATAATAGTCACCCAAAGAGTCATATACAAAAAGAGGGCAGGAAATCTCTCCATACACTAAGACTCAAAGAATCCAACTGAGGGCCTGGATCCCACAGCAACGTCCTGCACGAGTCCAGCTGAAGACCTTGAGCCCATGACAATGCACTCCAGGAGTCCAACTGGAGGCCAAGAGCCCACAACAATGTCTCATGCAGGCCTGTTTCAAGGATCTGCACTAAGAAGGTCCAAAAGTCAGTGGTGGAAGCTAGAAAGTCTGTGCCAGCAGGATAAAGAATCTGTGCCAGTAGGCTGAGGGATCTGCACTGGAGCCAGGAAGTGACACTGGAAGTAAGGACCAGAGCTTCTCTGAAAAGTACCACAGCCATCCTCAGCAACTACAAAGTCCCAAGTTCCTCCAACAATGGGAACAGCCAAGTCCATATCAGGAATGCCAACACAACAAGCTTCTCCAGGACATTGAACAGCGAGGGTGCCATCTTCCCCTCTGGAGCCAGGACGCGATGCTCAAAGTGAGGACCAAAGCTTCCCCAAAATGAACCGCAGCCATTCCCAGGGACAAGGACCCAAGCTCCTTCAACGATGAGAACAGCTGAGTTCATCAGGAAGGCCAGCATGACAAGCTTCTCCAGGAGAACCAACAACAGCCCCAGGAGAACCAACAGCTCCCAACAGCACCTAACCTTCTTCCTCTCCAGTTCTTCTTTTTATTTTGTTGGCAACAATACTCAGATGGGCTTTCCACACCTAGCACCACACTGGCTCAGTTCAGGTGGGTATTAAAGTTGACCACCAGTTGTCACCCACCACAGTGCCTTAGAAACCTCTCCTTTTACTCAAAAGGAAAGAACAACTGGGATGAGGGAAAGGAAGAAAGAAAGAAGGGCGGGGAATATATATATGTATATATAAACATACACACACACACACAAGATAGCTAAGGTAATTGTACTACTAATTTCTACCAGTTTATTGAAAGGAACAGTTAATTCTTAATTTTTTTCTTAGTTTCTTTTTTTTACTAGTTTTGCATGCACTATATCTGGTAATCTGAACAACTACTTTGAAGACAACAATATGCAGTATAACAACCATTGTTGATTTCCTATCATTTTGTTTTGAAATTCTGTCTCATTTTTAATTTTTTTTTTAAATTTTTCTTCTCTTTAAAAGAAAAAAAAAAAAACCTCCCTTTAAGTCAGGTATTTTGTCCCAACAGTGGAAAATGTAATACATAGCCATACTCAAAAATATATCATTGAGGGCCTGAACTTGCTATCATTAGACATTCATTTCTTTAGGTGAGGCAGAAACATCTCTAGGAGTACATCAATTTTTTTTTCTTTTTTACTTCTTTTTCTCCAAAAACAGGGCAAATCTTTTAAGTCAGTAAGACTTTCTCACACATATGTCCTGAAATGACAATCAAGTCAGTCACCTTCAAGGCCAGGATCTGTTGGAAGCCCTGTCCCAAAATAAGATGTGGTACCTTGTAAAGAGAGGTCTGTGGGAATAGAGCAAAGTGACCAAGACCAGAGGCAAAGAGAATGGAGTCCCTGGAAGGAAGGAAAATGGCATAGAAAAGATGACATAAGATACTAAAAGCAACTCTTACTCAATCCCTTATGGATATTTAATGAACACTGGTTTTCATCAATTTGTGTAAGTTCCATCATCTAGAAAATCTGAGGTAGCAACTGGTGAATGATGAAGCCTCAGAAAAGATTCAGGATATAGCAAACATGAAAATTCCTAAACAGGAACACTTTGATGGTACACAGCATCTGGAAAGGCTTATCCAGATTCTGATGATCCGGCTCCAGGAAAAAGGATTCATCCTGCCAAAAGCAAATCCCTGGGTATTCAGGTTACTGGCATATTTTGGAAATTTAATTTTAAAGAAAAACTAGGAGAGTTATGAATTGTGTGTCTCTTCCAAGCCTACGGGAGGAAATTAATCCTTAAACCACAAAATAAATAAGTCAAGTGCCTCTTAAAATAAGCACTATAAAGACAAATTTTCCATCCATCATATCTCACTAACTGCATTTTCCTTCTTTGGGATTTCAGTTGCCTTTAGCAAAGAAAATATCTTACATAACTGAAATAGATCTCCTTCCTTACCCATCAAATTTCAAAATTTTTCATCCACTTAATAGTGATAAAGTAATGATTCTGTTATTTGCTTGGAAGCTGCATTTGAGAATATAGTTGTCATTGTGTCTACTTACAATTGATACAAACAGTGTCTGGAAATCAAAGTGACCCACACCAGAGCTGCCAGTTCTCAGCTGCTGGTGGCAGACAGTAAAGAGCAATCTTTACTGCTAAGAGTTTAGTGAGTAAGAATTTTCCGAACATGTGTTAATAATAGACTACAAGTCAGTTATCTCCAAGCCAGCAACTATGAAACCCCCAATACGCAATAAGGTATGGTACACTTTGAAAAGAAACCCGGGGGAGAAGGAGAAGGAGAAGGGACCCGGACTCTCCCTGCATGGGGAGAAGTCCTTGAAAAGAAGAAAAAGCTTACTTTCCCACTATATTGGGGTTTAAGGAAAAACTAAGAGATTTATGAACTGTGTGTCCCTGCTAGGCCTATGGGAAAAATCAACTGTTAAACCACAAAATAATTAAGTCAAGTGACACTAAAATTTAGTGCTATCAAAGGCTATTTACTGTTTGTTTGTTTGAGATAAGGTATCACGATGCAGTCCAGGCTGGCCTTGAACTTGCCGTATAGCCCAGGCCAGCTTTGAACTCACAAAACGCCTGTCTTAACCTCCCAAGTGCTAGGGCCATAGGTTTGTGCCACCATGCCCAGTCATAAGTTATTTTGTGTCACCTTGCACATCGCTGACTCTCTGAACCAGCTGCCAGTAAGCTGGGGTATCTCAGAAGTCCCCACTTCACTGAGTGGCCTCCTGAATGTAAAATGGCTTGCGTGGGAAGAGTATGAGGGGGCCAGAATGCCTGGCGCTCCCAGCAACTTTCCTTTCACAGCAGCTATCTGTTTTATATTCCACTGGCTACTAAAAAGCCTTCCTTCAGACTGTTAAATATTGGGATCAATGTGTTGAGAATCAAGTTTCTGTACCAACAAGGCCTAAAGCCAGAGGCAAAGCATCTGAGCAATGTGTTACTGCACTCCCGACCTACAGTCTAAAACTCAGAGTCCCCCCAGTCTGCTTCTCACCCCGACATCAAGCTGAGCAACCACAGGCCCCCTACGGACACACCTCCCGGTCCTCTTCCCTGGCATGGTCCTCTCACCTGTGAATCTTCAAACTGGGAACTTAGATGCTATAAAATCAATCAACACCTTCTTACATTCTTCCCTGGCCTAAGAACACTATAACTGTCCAAATTATAATAATTGATGGTGGATCTATTAATTAACAAGTGCAATAATACTTGTTATGTGTGAAGCACTGTGCTCAGGTGGTGAATTTCAGGCTGAGTGGGCCAGGTGTCAGCACTTGAAGCCTGCACACCTGGAGAGCAGACACACAGAAACAAGTCTCAGGTCTGACCACTGCAATAAAGCACAGCCTACACTGTAGGGAAGAAGAAAACATTTAATTGCAACTAATGACCCAACAAGACTTCCTGGAAGACGTGGCCTCTGAGCTGACGCCGTGAGATGCCCTGGGGAGAGTTACAGTCCAAGCAAAGGGGAGGTGAGTTCACCAACCCTGGAAGGCAACCTCCATGTGACTGGATCTTGGCAAGCATACTATGGAATCTAAGACCAGATGGAGGAGTGAGAGACAAAATAAAGGGCTCTGTTTCTGACTGCAGAGTTTGGAAGCACAGGAGTGCTTCCTTCCATAGGTTATCATGGTTATGGAAATTTTAACCTGCCACGGCTGTGGCGTTTTAGGTCTGTTCACATCAAAAGACACACCAACGCAACAGCACATGCAGCGGGCCCTCCATGCTGTGGGCCCCACACCTGCGGGCCCCCCCACCCCGACCCCCTGTGGATTCAACCAACTACACCTCAAAAAAGTATGGAAAAACATGCTAACGTGTACCAAGCATGCAGACACTTTTCTTGTCATTATTCCCCACCATAGGGTGACACCTATTTAAATAGTATTTACATCGTATTAGGTGCTGCAGATAACCCAGAAATGGCAAAATATACAAGAGGGTGTGCATAGGTTACACGGGGGACTCCAGCGTCCCTGGAGTTTGGGATTCCCAGGGACCCGGGCAGCAGTCCCCTGAGACACAGCGGGGGCAAATGTACCTAAGGTAACCTCACCCTCCTCATCTGGCCCCTTTAAATGACTTATCTACCTAAATTAAGACCAGCTGTGAACCCCACTGACCAGCCAGGACTTGGTGCAGAGAACACAGGGCCTTTCACCCTGAAGCAGATGCCCGGAGAGCTCTGTCTAGGAGCCCAACTTCGGGTTCCTCCGCCTCCCCAAACTTCATCAGCCCCGGTGCAGCGCAGGTCCAAGGCTGGGGCGGACGGGATATCATCCCCCGCGGGAATAAGACACAACAATAGCAGCACAGGATGTTCTGGTTCTTCAAGCTGTCCGGGATTCCCAGCCTGAACACTTCCTGGAAACCTTTCTTCACCGCTTCTCTTGCGAAATCTAGCGGGCCCTCCCTCCGCTCCTTGGCTTCTTATACCCCGCGGAGCGCAGCGGGCGCACAGCCGCGCTCCAGCCGCGCTTCCTTCCTCGCCGCGCAGCGCAGCGCGCAGAGCCCAGTCGTGCAGGACCAGCCCTCCCTCCCGCAGGTGAGGTTTCCCAGCGCGGCTTCCTCGCCTGCCTCCGCCCACTCCCAGCGCGGGGCCCAGGTTTCCCGGTCCCTGCTCAGCGCTCACTGCCCCAGCTCCCCACCCCGCAGAGCCGCCCCAGCTGCTGCGCGCGATCCTTTGGGCATGCCAGCGCTTCCAGCTTCCTGCACTTGGATCGCTCATCACCACCACCCGCGGGTGCAGAGAGGCCTGCGCGAGGTCTGCTGCGGCTCCGTAGCTTGCTCCTGGGTTGGCGCAAATCTTTGGCGCCAATCAGAAGGGAGATTGAAGAAATGTGCGTTGCCAGTCTCTCTTCTGAGGCTGATTATTGACCAACAGCTGGAAATTTGTCCCAAAACTGTAACCTCTTTGATCTGGATCTAAATTCCCTTAAGCAGTTTAACAATTGCTTTTCCAGAGAAATATTGTTTGGATTGTAATTTACAGCAAAAAGAAACTAAAACCTTATTTCTCTGTCCAGAGACAGGTGGAAGGGAGCTTTTTTCCTCTGGGTGATTAACTTCAGCACTTTCTTTAAAAGATGACTGGTGTGGTGGGAAATGAATCCTATGATGGGGGAAGGCCTGGAGAATTCTATTCCTGGTTCCAATTAGAAGCCAACTATCCCAGCCTCAGTTCCACAGATGTAAATTGAAAGGCTGTTGGTCCAGACGATCCACAAAGCCCAACTCTAGCAAGGTGAAAAGCCATGTGACTTGAGAAGCTGCAGTTTTGAAATGTGTCAGAAATCTCATTAATGCTTAGAGGCAGAGCTGAGCAATTACTTTTTTCGTGATAACACAGGTTCACTCTTATAAGGAAACTGCCCAGTTGTGGAGTGGAGGCACTGCCCACGGGAGCATGCGAAAGTCCTACCACCTTTATCATTCGGTGGCAATACTCTCAGCTATCCAAGCCATTCTCAGCCTTGCTGTCTGAGACTCTCCTATTCTCTGTAAATGTCACTCACACGAAAGAACTTTTTTTTTCGGATATAATAGGTGTAATTTTATAAAATGGCACATTCACTTGAAGCAGTAAGTTTCTTGAGATATGGCCTTTTGCAAAGCCCCGGGGTTTTCAGAATGCTGTGGTGTAGCTCTTCCTGCGTGCATTCCACCTGCAAGGCGAGCACAGCCAGCCCAGAGAGCGGAGTGAAGCACTCCCTGCCATCAGGCCCCGGGCTGTAAAGCAAATGGTACCTGTGTCCGGAGAAATTGGGTCGCCGCGCTTTCTCCGTTCCGCAACATTTGTGGTTTTGCTGAAGTTCAGATAGCAACCAGAGGCTCAGAAAACAACGTATGCAAGGCCCTGCCCGTATTTTAAGAATGATTTCTTGACATTCCTGTCTTGCTTAAGCTTGCTGACCGTTGTGTTGTTTAAAAGGATTTTTATAAACCTGTGAGTAGCTTGGAAGCCCTAAGCCGTGCACAATGTCGTTAACAACTTTTTAAAAATGGGTTCATCTGTCATAGAAATTTAAAGGTGGAGCAGCCTCGAGCAACCATTCTGTTACCTTATCTTTTTAAAGACTTCTCCTAAGCCACTGCCAGTCATTAATACCGTGAGTGAATGGACACAGGTTCTCGCTGCTGCACAGTCAGACTCAGAAACACATGTCAGTGTTCCGTGATGCTCACCCTCTCGTTCTCTGCATAAGTAACTTAGATATTTTTATCAACTTCTATTTAGAAATCATCTCCTTGGAAAATCTTAGGAAAGCTGAGAAACTGTGAACAAAATGAAAACAAAAGCCCTATAGCACAGCAGCCCTTCACAGCTTGAGGACTCGCAGGGAGTTTCTCTAGGTTTTCTCAAAGGATAAAGTCATTTGTTAAGAGCCTGCAGCTACATCTACCGGTAAAGCCCTGCTATGAGAATCTAGAATACACTGAATAATACATTTTTCTGGGTGGGATTTTGGGATTTTTTTTAAACTTCAGCTAGGAAATAATAGAAATAAGATTTACAAAGACAAATTATTTGAGTCTTCTGTACACATTCACTATGAAGACTTTCTGAGGAGTTCCACATGATATGATTTGGGCGGGGGGTTGTTTTGTTCTATTTTGTTGTCTTTTTGAGACAGGGTCTTACTATGCAGTTCAGGGTGGTTTTGAACCCACTTTGTAGCCCTAGCTGGCCTTGAACTCACAGTAATCCTCCTGCCTGAGTCTTCCACCTGCTGGGATTTCAGTCGTGCGCCACTACACCCAGCCTTTTTTTTTTTTTTTTTTTTTTTTTTTTTGGTACTGGGAATTGAACGCAAGACCTTGTACTTGCCATGCAGGTACTGTGCCACTGAGCTAAATCCCCAGCCCCTACATGATATGTTAAACCTCAAAATTCTTTCAGTGGTTTTTTTTTTTTTTTTAGGTGATTTCCAAAATGGCTTGAACTAACCCCTGTTCTTTTGTTAAGAAGAAATCAATTCTGCAAGGAATAAAACTAAATAAATAGTGAAAGGATAACTAATACTTAAAACAATTTGTGATAATACTTGGTCTGTATGTATAAACGATTTGTTTTTTCAAAGTCATTAAGGCATTTAGAACAAAGAATGCACATACTGTTTGAAGATTATCTTTCAGAAATACAGCACTTCAAAAGGAATGCACTAGGCAGCTAAAAAATCTCCATGCTAATTAACCAGGCTTGACATTGATATCCTAATCTCAATTCTTCTCTGCAGTGTTCTACAAGAGTGTATTTAGCCATGTGGAAAGAGATATTGCCACATTGTCCTTTGACAGTCACATACTTCTGAAAAGTTATTTTGAGAGACATGTTTCCTTTACATGTAGATTATATGATCAGTCCTAATCTCGTGATAAAATAAAGTTCACTTTTTATCTTAAAAGAAAATGTGCTCAAAGGGTAATTTTGAAAAACAAGGAGCTGTAATTCTGAAAAAAAAAAAAAAACACACACACATGATATGACTTCACTATATCACCTATTTCTTAAAGAGTTTTTAGTACAACGTGCACTAGATTTTCTTTTGGGCCTCAGCACTCAATTAAAGAGAAACGCTTCATAAAGAATGCACGGGGCTCCCTGCAGATCTGCAGTGTGTAGGAGCCCTAAACAGAAGGGGAGAATGCATGATCAACACTGATGATGCATCTTTCATCTCTGCCTGCTCTTTTTATAGAATGGAAACTTTAACCCTAAATTAAGTGGTGGACAGAATAACTTTGCACAGACTTTGGTAAACTTTCTTGTCATGTTTCCCAGCAGATAAGTGTTCCTTCCCGGGGTTTCTGGCCTCTCTGCACCTTCCTCTGCTCTGGCCCTTACACAGTACATTGTAGCAATCTGATTATGTGCTACCTCCTACCCATTTCCAGAAACCCTGCAGTACTAGGTCCATCGGAGTTATCACTTTATCCCCACTGTGCAGTATAGAGGCTGTTCAGTAATTCTCTGCTGAAAGCGTGAAGCATGCCAAGTTAACTGGTGAAAACACCAAAACATGTTTGGAAGTAACTGGCCACTATGGACATAGATGAGTATGTTTGCTGCCTGTACTGGGTTAGTTAACAGGATCAGAGCAATGACAAAGTCCAGATTCTAACTACCTACCATTTGGGCAGAAGCATGAGATTGTTTTGTATGATGCAGTGCATATAAATAGCTCAAATTATTATATTTATTTTAAGTATAAGAAACTGTAGGAAAATTGCTGTTTCATTTTCCTTTATTTATTTTAGTAGCCCTATTGTCTTGCTACACAGGGTAAGTTTTTAAAATAAATTTACAACCATAATACTTTGGATTCTAAAAAACATACTTTGGGTTCTAACTCAAACAGTAGGTTTGGGAAACTGATGTAGTTAATAATAAAAGTGTGCCAATTGCACACTTTTCCTAGATTGAGATCATGAGGTGTGTTTACCCTACTTTTCAAGCATACTAAGAAAACTAGAAGATTGTGATTGAGGAGACTGGTACGGAAAGGGTTCCTTGTATCTATTTCCCTATGGGAAACAAGAGTCTAAATATATAAGGTTTACAGCCCAAATTGTCTCAGCTCCGTATGTGGATGGGCAGGGCCTAGGACCTGTGCTGGGACGTGATAACCACATGAATTCTATTTTCATAAAAAACATGGAAGCCTTCAGGGAAGGGAGACCTCTATGGAAAGAAACTCAGACCTAATGTCTAGTCACCATGGAAAAGTGGTATCACCCTGCCAGCCCAAGTATTTTCCCATCGCCATGAGCATGTTGCCATAGCTTTGGTGGGAAAGGGGTGAGAGACAGGGAAAGAGCCAATGGTGCACTGTTACTCACCTAAGGAGAAAGAGAAGTCCTGACTTACAGCACTAGGTGATTCTCATGGTCCAAATATTCCCACCAGGGCTGATTTCAAGCTCCCAGCTGGCAAGGCGTCTCCAGCCATGCCACTGGATGAGGCTGAGACTAAAAAGTCAGGGATGTAACTGACTGTTAGAGCACATGCTTAGCATGAGAGAGGCCCTGGGTTTGATCCCCAGAACCAAAATAAAAATAAATAAATAACCTAGGAGCTGTTTAATTTAACTGTATTCATCAACTAGCGCTGCTCTCAAGTTTGTGTATCAGAGCCTAACTAAAGGATGCGGAGGGAGTTGCCCCCAGGGTAAAAAAAATGAAGCAGCCACATCTGATGAACTTCAGCAAACGTTAGAGGTAATAATAAGCAACGTGTAGAGGAGCCAGATAAGTAAAGGAGAACAATACCCAAAACAAGATCAGAGAGGCTGAGCAGTCCCCAGGAAACTTCGGAAAGTAGTAAGGAGATACTTGGACGCAGAATGGAGTTCCTGCAGCAAGGCTTGCAGGCCAGGGTCAAATCCACTGCAGAAGTGCTCTATCCCGAAACTGTAGAGGCAGCTATCACATTTAGGTCACTTCCCAGTACCCTCAGTATGAAGACACATGCCCATTCATAGGAAATTTTGTTTGCACAGAGTTAATCAAAATTATCAAAACACTTCCCAGATACCTCTGATTACA